TTCGAGACCACCCACGAGGCCGCCCGCGCGTATGACGCAATGGCATGGCGCCTTGGTCGGCCTTGGTCGCAGATGAACTTCACCGACGTGCAAACGTGCGAGCAGGCGCAGGATCTCGCGCCTCCCCCACAACTAATCAGCGACGAGGATCTCCGCCTCCTCATCGCTGAGGTGGACGAGCACGTCATGGCGGTGTGGCGCGAGCGCTTCCCGCAGGATTTCGCCGCCGAAAACGAGTTCTGGGCGAAAAAGAGGGCAGAGCCGTGCGTCGGGCAGACAAACGTGTGCGGAAGGAACATGTGGAAGCCCACATCGAGCTGGGACCTGCGTTGACCTGGGACGATGAAGATCGTCGGTTGCTCGGTGCGTTTACGTCGCCGGACTACACCACTGAGCAGGATGAGGAGTAGTTTTATTTTGTTTTATCTATTTTTATTAGCATCGTATGAACTGGCTTGTGGTTTGGAGACTATGCTATGAATTTTTGAACTATGTGTTGTTTCATAGTTTTTTCGTATGGATTGTTTTCAATTTTTTTCAATCACCGGCTGGTCACGCGTTGGATTTTACCGCGCCTGTTGAAGCGCTATAGCGGCACGCTAAATATTGCAGCGCAGCTAAAGCAACCACCCTGCTAAAACGCTATTTCGACACTGTAAAATTTTCTTAGCGCGCGGCGCTTGTTTAAATTTCATGTTTTGACCCTTTTCTGAAACCTATTCGAAATTTGACCATACTTTAATTTTTTTTCAAGATCTGACCCTTTTACTACCGCTAGGGACCATGGCGGTAGGTCCCTGGCGTTAGAGTTGCATGCCCTATTGCCAAAAACCTTCTAAGTATTGAACACAGTGCGTGCTCGTGTCTACCGCCAAGTAACTTGGCGATAGGGTTGTGCAGGCTACCGTCAGCCCGGTTGGCGATAGCGATATTTCCTACTGCCAAAGTATCAGGCGGTAGGTTGTTAGACCCTACCACCATGAACTCTGATGGTAGCAAAAAAGTCAGATCTTATTTTTTTTTTCAAACTAGAGTCAAATCTCGAATAGATTTGAGAAAATGGTCAAAACACAAAAATTTGCCAGCAAGAAAAGCCAGCGAACCGCCACTGGGCTGACCACCGCCTCCCTCACAAAGGTATTCCCATCAGAATTATGAAATTATTCAAGTGCTATTGGCCTAGAAAAATTCAATTACACATGCTTTATCCTCGAACGGGCAACGACACTCAAAAATGAAATGCGTACATTCAAGTAATACCACTGGCTTAAGAATTACTCTAAACTTCGAGTATTTTTTAATCAATAAATACCTCAATTCGACCAACCGTAACGAAAAACTAGCACTTTACAAACTTTTGAAAAACAGCCGTCAGGAGCTCGATGACTGCGGGGGAGAAAATCCCTGCTGCTGTCAGGAGCTCGACCGCTGTGGCCGCACGCCGCCTCCACCCGCCGCCACCGGCAAGAGCTCGCCGCCATGGGTAGGAGCTCGACGACTGCACGGGAGAAGATCGCTGCTGCCGTCAGGAGCTCGACCGCTGCGACCGCACGCTACCTCTAGCCGCTGTCGTGGGCAGGAGCTTACTGCCGCCGACAGGAGCTTGACCGCCGTGGCCGCACATCACCCCTAGCCGCTGCCGCTGGTAGGAGCTCGACGATCGCATGGGTGGCGCCGACAGCCGGCAGCCTTGATCATTTTTGTTTAGTTGCTAATTATGCCGTGCTGCACAATGGGACAGTCGGCAGCCGGAAGCTCCTCGGGCGCGGGAGGTAGTTCTGCCTTGTGCTCAATCAGAGTAGGGGTGCAGTTCATGAGTTAACGGTCAACCAAACAAAGTTGACCTTGTGGTAACTTGTGGACCTGCCAAGTGGGCCAGTGCTGTCATAATAGAGTTTAATTTTGGTCCAATCGATCATTTAATCAATGAAGAGCAAAATTGGTACTCCCTTCGTCCCATAATATAATAATGTTTTTGACACTTGTAGTGTCAAAAACATTTTTATATTATGGGACGGAGGGAGTAGTGTTTTACTAGGGTTTGTAAAGTGATAGTTTTTCGCAACGGTTGGTCGAATTATGGTATAGTTTTTACTTAAATACTCCTGAACCTCTGAAGTGTGAATTGCCTATATAGTGTCAGTTTTCAGAAAATAACCTAGCTAATCTTGAGGAGTACCATTTCAACTTAGCGATGGATGTGTGTGTTTATGTGATGGTTCAATGGTCGAATGATATTATATTTTTCTAGGACGTTATAGCCGTGCAGTATACACTGACTAGCCACGAGCTAGGCAATCTTCGGTTCGAGATGACCTGGAGTGATGATATTTCCATTATCATTTATTTCATTGATGAAAAAGAATTAGCTGATCCCAGTAAATTTTAATGGTTGTTATATTTTTATTGGCAATAATTGTTGTAACAAACATTACGTGTCTTGAGAAGAATTTTTGGTGTTGAGATCTTACTTTAGAATATTGGCTCACTTCCATTGATTTTTTCAAGTGAGGTATTTGTCAGTCATAACAATAATTTATCTTATTTAACAACCAATTGGAACACCTAATGGATGGAATAAAATATACTTTTGTGTATGCAACAACATGACGACAATTGTCTGTCCGTTTTGAAAATGCAAATTAAGCGACACCAGAGAATTGTGTCTCCATTTAACATATACTTTTCTTCTAAACATTTTATGTTTGTATTTGTGTGAATCTCATTTGGTCAATGTGTGAGACATGCGTTGCATGTGCAAGCTCACTAGCCGGTCATAGCAAACAAAGCAAGGCAGCGCGGGGAGGGCATTGAGCGAAGGGATAGGAGTGGTGTTTGATGGTTGTTTTCCTTGTGATGCCTAAATGGGCTTTCATACGAGAGAGGGTCCAATTAACCACATGCCTCCAATTTTTTCCAGAGCAGCTGCGTAGCCCAATCGCGGGAAGTGCTACGCTAGAGTTGTTTGATTGGACTTTAATCGTACGTCCGAGAACATCAAAAACTGTAGATCGAATGATCGCATATGCTGATGGACTGAGAGGGTTGGAAAGTCGCATAGTTTTAATGTCTCTAAAGAGAACTAGTGGAATTAGCTAATGAAAAACTTTATTCCATCCACAATAATGAGGTTGGACTTTGATGAAATAGCATGTGTGATGATGTGACACTTATGCTTATAAAGATAAATATAAATAGTAGGGATCAACAACTTAGGTATATCTTTTGCAAATACACGTGGAGCGTATCATTCCATTGATAGAGGGTAAAAAACACAATGGCGATCCTCGTGATGCGTGCCTACAAGACGCGTACGAGGTCGCGGTGAGAATGGGTGGGGGGTTGCTTAGCCCCTTACATGTCAACTATCAGGTTAGAGGATACTAAACCCTCGAGTACCGGCCTTCGCCCAAGTGCAAGCTTCCTTCACCAGTTTGGTGTGAGACGGCGTGGTACCATCGAAGATGCAATTATTGTGGTGCTTCCATATAGTCCAAGCTGTGAGCGCAATCAAGGATTAAGGCCCTAGCGGTGGCTTGCCAGAGAACCCTGCAAGGCGAAAGCCCAACAATCATATAGGTCGATAGTTTCGTTAGGGCATCTTCAATGAAGAGCGCTTGTATAGACGCTTAGAGAAATAAAATAAATCTGAGAAGAAACTTAGCGCCTCTTGTTACAATGGCAACCATTAATGTCGGACACTAATAGCCTAATATGGGCATCTCCAACGGGCGGCGCTAGCTGGAGGCGCTAGGATTGAATTTCTGGCCTGATCGGCAGTTGCGCCGGGTAATCCTAAAGTTCAACGCTTATATTTTGGCATCAGTGCAAGTGTAGGAGTCCAGCGCTTAGGTAGTTTGCTTGCCGTACGAGATAAATCTGGGCTCAACAACCACGTTTGTTGGAGTTTGTTAGCGCCTATACTAGCGGTTAGCATTGGAATGGAGAATGCTTAGGTGAGCTTTTAATTTTAGGTTTTTTTATTTACCTAAGTGCCTCTACAGGAACCCTGCATTGAAAATGCCCTAAGCCGCCCACTGCACTCGTCGCTTTATCTCGTGCGACAGAAAAATCCAAAGCATCGGTTCCCTTTTTTGCGCCAATGCCGTAGCAAAACAAATCAACCGGAAAACAAATCCCGGTGCCCTAGGTTAGCGGCCAGCGTTGGAGATGCCCTTAGGCGGTTGGATGGTGAGGCGGCACCAAGAGAGCACATTGTGCCAACTGATGTGATAAACTAGGTATACAGAATATGCTGCGAAAACAAGAACGCTCCTTCTCAAAAAAGAAAAGGAAATGAAGAACAAGAACTCTCAGGGATTGGAGATCATCGGACTCGGGCGACAGCGAAGTGTTCAACGTCTAGTCAATATTGTCGACATTGTTAGTCGAGTGAGTCAACAAATGCATGCATGTGCCCGGCTGGCTGGCTGGCTGGCTGTGACTAGTCTATAGTGTTCGGCTGGAGTATTACCTAATGATTGGTCTTTCTTTTGGCACGGGTGGTGTTTTATCTGGTCTTTTTGACTACCCGTAGAATTCCAAGTTATGTTCATAAGCTGGGTCCAGATTTTTAGGTCTTCAAGTTGACCTGAAAATATGCTATATGCTGAAAATATATATATTTTTAGATCCGACTTGAGTTTTGAAATATATGTTTTTGAGACATATTGCAATTATTTTCTTAGTCAAATTGAAGACCTGAAAATTCATGCCCTACTTATAAACCATACTAGATAGTTGGAGAGAGAGTAGTGCGATCATCACAAATGTATGGCTGTGAAATAGGAGAATTTGGGTGACGACGGCAAAAATTAATACAATAGAGTTCAATTGTCTGTTTTGAAATACTTTACAATGCACTTAAAAATATCTAATAACATGAAATATAGCTTCACACATATTTTTGATAAAAAGAACTCATCAAGTGACTAATTATACAACTAACAATAACAATGAAAATGCGACATAGATAAAAATTTGCTCATAAATAAGCAAAACTATCGAGGGTGTCTTGCGGACAGCAGGAACTCTTCTTCTAAGCTATAACACCTGGTCGCTTCGCTTCGCTTTGCTCGTTGGATGGTCGATGTATCCATTGCCACATATTTCATCTCATTAGTTGCTTCTATCAAATCACCCTGGACATGCTCCTTGGGTGCTTGGAGAGCTTCTAACGCCATCTCCACTTGCCTCATGGTTGGTCGATCCTCTGCTTTCAGTTTTACGCATAAAGCAGCTAAAGTAGCTACTTCTTTCACTGCGCTACCTCCCTCCTCTACAACTTGTGGATCCAATATTTCGGTCAAGTTACCTTCTGCATGTAATGTAACAAATTGCATGACAAGACCATCGCCTTCGGGAGATCTGTACAAAGATGGCTTCTTCCTAGTAAGCAGTTCGACAAGAAGGACCCCAAAGCTATATACATCACTATTTTCTGTTAGACGTCCAGTATAATAATACATAGGGTCCAAGTACCCTATAGTTCCTTGCACCGCAGTTGTTGTTCCAGTTTTATCCACAGGGATGTACCTTGAAGCTCCGAAGTCTGATACTTTTGCTGTCAAGGCATCATCAAGAAGTATGTTGGAAGGCTTGATATCTCGATGTATTACTGGGATAGAAATAGCAGAGTGAAGGTAAGCAAGGGCCTTTCCTATTTCACCCATGATCCTTAACCTATCTTTCCAAGGCAATGGTCCTCGTTCTTCGTTGTGAAGATGGTCATTGAGTGTTCCATTAGAAATGAACTCGTAAGTAAGTAAAGGGACCTCCGTCTCAAGGCAACATCCATGGAGCTTCACAATATTCCTATGGTTGATTTGTGACAGTATGGCAACCTCATTTATGAACTCGTCGATCTCTCTCTTGACAACAATATTCGACTTTTTGATAGCCACAACATGCAAATCCGACAAGATCCCTTTGTAGACGGTGCCATGCCCTCCACCACCAAGCCTACGAGCCTGATCAAAATTGTTTGTAGCCTTCTCCAGCTCACCTAAAGAGATGAGCATCCTCTCTGCTATGTCTGCTCTGTGAGATACCAACTGCTTCAACAGTTGCCCACGATTTTGACTAAAGAACTTCTCTCTCAAAGCTTTCGCCTTGCGTTGCTCAAGATCTCGGGTGATTAGAAACGCACCAAGAGCCAAAAGTAGAATGCATGGTCCGCTAGCAACCGACAAACCAATGATCAAACCATAGTTACCTGAAAATTGAACAATACGCGCACACATGTTTCCTATTAGTATTTGCTCAACATTTACACTTGTTTCATTGTTTTCCTTAAAAAAAGAAAGGATTGTTCGGTTGATGCATGACCACGACCATCCAGTAGTAGTCACCCACAAAGCTGGTGATAATCATACCTGTGTCTGTGGTTGTGTCCGTGGACTTGATGCAGCCACCGAGCATGAAATGGTTGCCATGGGTTCCTTCCGGGCAGCTGCACCGGAACGATCCCGGCAGTTCCTCGCAGTTGCCGAAGCAGAAATGTTTTTCTTTCTCATCACACTCTTTGATATCTGCATACACACAATTAAGTCAAGCAAATATAGAATCAAGTTTACAAAGAAGCGACGTCATGTGCACATGTGAAGCTTTAAGCTCACCTTGGCATCCTCCGGTGAGGTAAGGGTTGCCCTCGTAGCCATCTTTGCACTGGCACGAGTAGCCTCCGACTTCAAGAGATAACTGCGAGTCTTGCCTGCAATAGCTGTTGGCGCTCTTGCAGATGCTCCGGGCTACATGGCCGGGGCATTTGAATGAGTTAGGATAATTTGCTGATGCGTCGTGCGCTAGCCCCCACCAGAGAATCACGGGGACCCTGAGCCGATCAGCTTTCCTTGAGAGACCTTTGAGGTCGTCCAGGGTCTGGCCGAAGTCGAACCAGCTCACCTCGGCGATGAGCACGCTCACGGGCAAATCAACATCGCTGACCTTGGGCAGGTTGGCGTCGAGCCGCTTGAGCTCCACGCCGTAGGATGCGCTGGCAGCTTGGATGGACGACTGGCAGCAGCCGATGTGGGAGCGGACGTTGGAGGTTGCCTGGTCATAGATGGCGCCATCGCCATGGCCATCGGCGGCGCAGAAAGAAGCGCAGCCGCTGACGAGGCTCCCATTCCCCACCAGCGTCGCCTGCACATTGCAACCCGTGACGATGAACTCGTTCAACCACGGGTTCAGCTTGTACGGCAGTTCGTTGTCGCCGAGGCTCCACCGCCCGGAGCCACCGCTTATGTTTATGGCGTGCACTCCGTGGCTGATGACGCGCATCGTGTTGTTCTCCAGCGTGATGCCGACCACCTCGAACGCGCTGGCGCTGCCGTCACCCAGCAGAAGCCTCGGGATCTTGCTGCTGTTTCCGTGGTCGACGCAGGTGAGCTTGAACCCCCGCGAGCGGTAGCACCTGGCCGGCCCTATGCCGAAGGGGTACGGCACGCTCACGTTGCCGCAGCGGGTCTCGCAGCCCGGCAGACCCATCGCCGGTGGACTTGGAGCAGCGGCGCAGCAGAGCGGGGACATGAGCGCCGCTGCCATCATGAGTATGACCACCACTTGTGCTGCCGCCGAGATGTAATCAGTTGTTTTCTCCATTGGTTGGTCACTTGGTCTATGGAGCGTGCCTACCTATCGTGCTGCAAGCATGAGATGGGCGCCGGTCTCCACTCTCACATAAGAGAGTTTTGGTACTGCTGGTAATGGCATTTTTTCACGGTTCAGTCCAAAACATTGACTTGGACTAGTCTGGTCGTCTTCTGCCACCAATTCTGCACATAAGTCTTGTGCGTGTGGAAATTAGGCGTGTGATGTGATTGATTGCTCTACTAGATGGAGGCTGCAATGCCCACCGTTGACTCGGCTTCGTCTTTTCCAGAAAAGAAGATAACGCCCCGTGCGTTGCTGAGGTAATTTTTAGCAATGTACTCCATCCGTAAAGAAATATAAGAGCATTTAGATCACTACTTTAATGATTTAAACACTATTATATTTCTTTACAGAGGGAGTACTTATCAAAAATAAAATTAGAATATATGAGAATATTATTCAACCTAAAGATAAATGGAGGGTGGATGACATTCAAGTTCAATTATTTATTGTTCAAAAACAAAAATAAAAATTAATGACGTGAAGGGCTTTCATGTTCTTTGCTGATGTGGAGGCTTGCATGTGGTAGAAACTGGAAAGTTGAAAGGTTGCATGGGCGCTTGATGATGTGGAGGACATGCTTGTGGTGGAATGTGGACAATTGATTGATTGCATGCGCTTGATAATGTAGATGTCTTACTTGTGCATTTAAATGAGAGGTGGCATGTGTGAAAATATATGAGGTGGATATATAGGTTGCATGTTAACATAAACTAGATGATAGCCCACACGTTGTTGCGGGGAATATTTTGCAATATAATCATTGATATTTGATTGTATGCGATATGAATATTCAGAGTAATAATATGAAAACTAAAAATACAAATACATATGCTTTATTGCGTTTGCAATATATTGCATTTATATTTGATTGTATGTAATATGAATATTCAGGGTAGTAATATAAAAACTAAAATTGCAAATACATGAGTGCGGCTATTTGGCTACTGAGCTCATCTGCTCCCGTCTGGTCCCTGCTTTGTTTCTTCTTCTTTTGCTTCATGTATATATGTATGTATGTATGTATGTATGTATGTATGTATGTATGTATGTATGTATGCATGTATGTATGTGTCTGGCAATGAAGGTCGTTTCTTCAGAATTGATCGAGTCTGACAAAGTTATTCTGAACATTTCTTGAAACAGGGCGAGGCCGGTGATGTCCGTGCGGTGATGTCCCTGGGGTGGCGCCACTATGCCCGACGCTTGCCCTAGTCGCCGCGGTGGTGCTTCGGCGGCTTCCAAACCCTCTCCTGGATGTGGTGATGGCGGTGTGGCTGAGCCTCTGCTATGGCTACAACCTCCCTCTAGTGAGCTCCTCCATATTCCTTCTTCTTTGATGTAGCTCCTGCATGGGCCTTGGCCATGATTTGGGTTGGCTGTGGGGCTCTAGTAGTTGCTGCTAGATGCTGTAACCAAGCATCAACTCCTACTGGAGCTCTCTGGTGATAAATTCATGCGGTTCTAGGGTTTGCCATTAGCTGCCCACGTGTACTTGCTTTATATATGTGCTCCTATGATGCTCTGGTGATATGGGGGGCTAATATCAAGATCATGGTGGTGTTGATGCTTATCTTGCGTGTCTCTGGTGGTGGTGTCTAAAATCAATTTTTACCCCAAGATCATGGTGGTGTTGATGCTTATCTTGAATGAATTGTGATATCCTTACCGCTAATTTACCTCAAGTTTATCTGAACATGGTTGAAATGAGGGCTGCAAATTTTGATGTCTAAAATCAATTTTTACCCCAAGTCCTTAAGTAATTATTTTCATTACATCACAGTTAGCTGAGAATATTGACTTGAATATTTTATGTATGCCCTGATGCATGTACACATACGGTTGAGCAAATACCGAGCTGCAGTGGAACAACCTGGAGTTAGAGAACTTCAAGGACAAGATATCCATTGCCTCTTATTACTTTCAAAATTTTCTCGTGTCAACATAGAACAAAAGGAGTGTTGTGTCAATTTTTGTGATTTTTCGAGATTTGTTTGGACATTTTATGCATTAACTGAATTTTCAATGCATTTATTTGCATAATTCAAATTTGTACTACATGCACATGCTCCAGTGCATATAAATTGGTTGAAAAATCAAATCTGTGTCCTTGGGCGCATGCTTAGGTCCCATGCAAGAAATGGGAATGAATTTCAAACACTAGGGCACCGTTGATTGCCGGCAAAATGTTGAAATACTTTATTTTTAAATTCTAGTAAATCCAAAACTCGTCTGAAATTCATGAAACTTCGCATTCTATTATGGAGCGGCATCAACATGCCATGGTAATTTTTTTGTCCCATTTGAGGCAGGTTTGGGTATATGCTTCTCACAACAATCATGATGGTTTCGGCAGAAAACGTCCCACCTTTGGGGATGAAACGATATCCATTGCCTCCTATTGCTTCCACAAATTTTCTCGTGTCAACATAGAACAACAGGAGTGTTGTGTCAATTTTTATGATTTTTCAGGGTTCGTTTGGACATTTTTATGTATTAACTAAGTTTTCAAGAGAAAGTCCTGTATGATTGTTCATTGATCCAACACGGTTTATTCCTAGAAACTGTGTGTGTTGCCCGAGGTCATCGCCCACGATATTTTGTCAATAACCATTTGCAATAGCAAAACCCAATTAGCAGGCTAATTCGCCATTAGCAGGCTAATTGCCCTATTATTAATAATCCATTTATTAATCTAATTGACATTCATATTAAGCACATAATATATTTCATTTTCATATTAAGAAAGCAGAATTTTATAATTGAAATGCATTAGAGTACAACATGATATAGCTTCAGCACTCAGCTACCCCATTACACAACTGCACCAGCACCAAGTTTTACATGCAACATGTAGAACCTTTCGAAATTAGCATCATAGACGGTATATAGACAGATGCATCTCATCTGGAAAACTGCTAAAGCGGAAGACGAATATTGAGCCTTCATTCATGTTGAAGGCCTTTGCAACTTTAGGCCAGTGCTAGTGGATGATTAACCGTCCATCCTTCGTCCTCTTCAGGAACACTTCAATATTGAACAATGGGTGTTGTATAAAAACCTTCCTCGCCTCCTGACCATAGAGGTTGTTTGAGAGGTAATCATCAGTGAGCTGCTTTGGAAATGCCTGAAAACAAGGATGTGCATAAATATCTTCTCTATATTAGAAATGGGGCAAAGGAATAAAAAAAGGCAAGGTATAATAGTTAGTACCATCTTGTAGTGAACTGATGTCTTCTTCATTGTGCAGACAAAGATCTTGTTGTTTTTTGTCGCTAATTTCTTTGTCCTAACAATCTTTCTGAGTTTTACTGCTACTACTACTACTGCTGCTACTACTACTGCTACTGCTGCTACTTCTGCTACTGCTGCTACTGCTACTGCTACTCCTACTCCTACTCCTACTCCTACTCCTACTGCTACTGCTACTCCTACTGCTACTCTTACTGCTACTACTATTGCTACTGC